TGGGAAGTCTGAGGGGAAGCCGCCCAGGACAAGTACCCCCGCCAAGGACACCAAGAACCTCTGAGACAGGGGGCTTGGCCAGGAAGGAGGGTGAAGGAGACCGTGGCAGACAGACTAGGAGAATCCGGGGACCATTTGGCAGTGTGCATGCAGCCACCAGCCCCCGACCCCCTGCTCCCAGGAGCTCTGCGGTGCTGTTACTCCTCACTTGGTGGCTCACACACCAAGAGTCTCACCCACCCTTGCCAGCAAAGCCGGCAGCCTGGAGGGCCCCTCAAAAAGCATTTTGATCGCTGCCCTGAGAAAAGCTGGTCAGTTGTCTCCCGCTCATCTCCCTGCCCCACCCCCAACACACACACACACACACACACAGCAGACAGGCGCAGAGACTCACTAGGACACATAGTAGACAAACAGGTTTCTCCTCACGAAATCGCCAACTGGTTTCCTGTGGAGCAGGGGAGGACAAGGGAGGGGAGTCACACACCTCACACTCCCTGCCCAGGCCCTCCCAGCAGCCTGCGTTCCCGCCGCCCACCCTGGCCACCACATGCAAACTCCCCTTCCAGTCCATCTGAGCACAGGGCCCGGCCCCACCCGCGGGGCCCCCGAGTCCTCAGACTCACACAAAGGTGAAGATAGCGATGATGGCCACCGTGATGAGCAGCTGGATGGAGATGATGCTGTAAACCTGGAACACAGGCCAGGGTGGGGGCAGCATGTGTCACCATCCCCCGTGTCCCCCCGGGAAGCAGCCAGTCCCCCCCAAGAGCCCCAAAGACCCTACTACCCTGCCCACATCTTTTACGGGGGGCGAGGGGGCCCCTTCTTAATGGTGAAGGATCTCCTTCTTACTTCATTTCCACTAGGGCCCTCCTCGGCTGCAGCCTGGCCCAAAGGCCCCCCACCCTTGAGGAGTCTGGCTCAGATACTAGACGCACCCTCAGAGCTGACCCCCACCTCCAGCTGCTCCCTGACATTTCCCCCACCCCCTGTCCAACACTTAGCCTCAGTTCCCCACTTACTCCCCCTGCCTCGCTGCACTACCGGGTGTGGCCTCCACACTTCTGGGAGTTCAGTGTGACGTCTGTCAGGTATCTACCTCCTCGGGTATCCACCTACTCAGAGCAGGGCACCGTGCAGATGTGAGATGGGGGAGGGACGGAGTATAAAAGAGTTTGATCATTCTGACTTCAAGTTGCTCACAGTCTAACAGGAGAAAGACATTTGGGGAGGACAGAACACTTTGGCGAAGCCCGCCTAGATTTTCCCAGATTGAATCTGTCCCCCACCACAAGGTCAAGGAAGAGAAGAGTGAAAGGCGGGGAACGTGGGTCAGCGGAGCTGGGGGCCCCTCTGAGGGCAGGGCAGGACTAAAGAGAATTCGGAAGGCAACAGCGTATCTGCATGGGAATGAGTGCCCCGGAACTAATAGTGCCTGGCCATCTCCACCCCCGGCCCCACCCCATTCCCACAGCCGACGTACAGTGGCCTCCCCGCCCATATCTCACCTTTCGGATGAAGGTGTGTCGGACTTTCCTGTCATCCCATTCTCCAGGCCCGAAGCTTTCACTCACTGCTCTCTCCTCCGCATCATAGCCCTGGCCTGGGCCTGGGAACAGATCAAATATGACCAACTGGGGACCTGGGACATGTGGCCTCAATCCCAAAGCCTGCATGACATTATCTCAGAGTCTCAGGGATCTCCAGCCGAAAGACAAGGGTATAACTCAGGAACTCCTCACCCAAATCAGGTCCTCTGGATGCCCTCAGAGTAACCCAGGGATGGCCTGGGCACCATGCGGAGCCGAGCGTCCCTGTCACAAGGGGACTTTGGTGTAAGCCATTCCATCGGTGCGCATTCACTGATGGCTCCTGTATGGGGGTGCCCGGCCCACACCTGGGTGCTCTGGGGGATGAACACTCATGATCTTCAACTAGGGGTCACGATCTAGTGAGGAAGCCAGGCAGGGGCAGGGCTTGGGGCCTCAGCCAGAGGAGCTGGCAGGGCCGGAGCAGGGGCGTCACGGATGGAAGGAGGAAGAGGAAGATAGAAACACAGCGTATGTGTGGAGGGTGGAGAACAGAGTGAGGAGCATAATCTGCATCCGGCAAACATCAGCACTCGGGGATGCCAGCGGCCTGCGTGCACAGGACAAAGCATGACTGTGACCGTGACTGATGTGCTAGTATTCCCAACAGAACACAGATGGCCAGCTGAGAGCTGGCCGTGCCCCAGAATTCCAGAGGCTACAGGGGCTCAAAACATTCCTTCAATGCTTCCTTGGACACTGCTTTCAAAATCCGCATGTGAGCCATTCAGGAAAAATCCCTGCATTCTAATCTCTCATTTCTGACCAAACAGAGCATTTACCTGCCATGACATTTATCAGACATCCAAATGACTTCTGGATGTCTGTAAGACTCAGATGTTACCTTAAAGGATGAGGACTTGTCAGCATCGAGAATATTTAAGGAAAAAAAAAAAAGTGCCTCAGGTACCAAAGGCAGTTACTAGAAGAGAGGAGTCCAGGGGGTGGCAACTGTCTAGCTAGGACACGGAAATGGCCTCCAGGAACCAGCTGCCTTACCCCGCCACTTTCTCACCTGATATGGAAGTTCTGGTGTGTGTCTATGGACTCAGTCTCCTTGCTGAATAAAGGGGCTAGTAGGTGGCTCAGGGCCAGGTGCTAAGGGGATGGGGGGTGGGGGTGGGGGCAGGTAACAAAGATCGTGAAACAGGAGAGATCTAAGGAGAAGATGAAAAAGGGGATGGGACAGGAAGCTGAGATGGAAGGAAAAGAGGTGGCCTCATGTGGTACAAGTGCTGCCTCGTCCCCCCCCCCCCCCGCCTCCAGCTGCCCCTCGGGGACTCACCGTAGTTCATGGGCATCGGGTGGATGGGGGGCATAGGCTGTGGATAGCCAGCAGGGTGACCGTAGCCAGGCTGTGGGTAGGCCGGGTAGGCCGGGTAGCCACCAGGCAGGACAGACGGCTGCCCGTAGCCCCCCTGGGGCGGAGGGCCAGGGTACAGAGGGTTGCGGTCCTCATACGGAGGGGGGGCACTGGGGCTGGACATGGCCGCTCAAGGGCTGAGGGCACCTGAAATGGAGATGAGAAAATCAGTCAGGAGTGCCCAGACCCAGCTCACGGGGCCCCAGTCCAGGCTGCCTCTGTGGAGAGGGGACCCTCACATTTTCTCTCTTGATCGTGATCACAGTGTCATCCTCTGCCCACAGGCCATCCTCCCCATCCCCACCAGCTCAGCCCCTGTCCCTCTGCCTTCATGCCAGCTTTCTGTCTACGGCCCTCCCTCCTGTGCCGCTTCTTGCCCTCAGGAAAGCAGAAGGGGGGATTTGTGCAGGAGCCCAGAGCAGTCACTGGGCATCAGTGGTGTGAGAGACGAGGGACGGAAGCCCGGGAACTCCCCTGTGCTCATTTAAGAAAAGTTTCCAGTGACCACAGAAGAAGCTTGATGGCCCCAGCCAAGCCTGGGGGTGAGTCACGCGGCCAGCTGGGACCCATTGAAGGGGTCAGCCCAGCCCCCACAGCAGCTGGTAGGAGCCTCAGGCCTGAAAGGCAGAGCTGGGGAGGAGCCAGGGCTCTAAGTGGAGGGGGAGGACAAGCTAGCGCCAGGGCCGAGCCACCAGGCCCAAGCGGGAGGGCAGTGGGCCCGTGGCCAGTGGCTCCGTGGCCAGTGGCTGAGTCAGGGGACGCCTGAGAGGCCTGGGCGAGTAGCTGCCTGGGGCTGGGCACTCAGGGCTGGGGAGCTGCACAAAAAAGGTGAGGCCAGAGACAGGACTTTCTGGTTCCTTCAAATAACAGCTAAGGTGCATCTGATGGGTGTCGCAGCATATGGCTGCTACTGTTCTCTTCACAGCCTTGCCAGGTAGTAGATACTGCGTACAGGGCCCTGAAACCCCCTGGGAGGAGAGAGACCCATGTTTTGGGCTCTGGAGCCTCTGGTATCCCCGTGATTCCTGCCTGTTCCCCAGCAGGAGCTGTGGCTAAGTGGGAAGGAGAATGCACTGGTGAGTCATGCCTCAAGACCCAGCAGGTGTCTTCTCTGTGGCAGGAGGAGTCCCACAGCCAGGGGAGGGCTGAGGAACGAGGAGGGAACCCCAAAAACACAGCTGAGAGGGACCTCCAGGTCTTATGGCCCCAAATGCTCAATTTAGAGAAGAGGAACAAGGCGCAGAACAGTGAAGTGACTCTTGACTCCCCAGGGCCACAGAACGAGCAGGTTAATGGTACAATCGGAACTGAGGCCTTCAGGGTCCTGGGTCTGCATCCTCTATATTAGGCTGTGTTCTTTCTGCCTCTTAGGCCAAATAAATGTCCTCCTGGCCTGGTGTTCCCCTCTGAGGTGGCAAAGATGGGGGCTTGGGAGAAGCTAAGAAGGGGGTCCCTGAAAAGCCTTGACAGGGCCATGACCTCCTCCCACAGCATCTCCCAAGGGGCAGACCTTTAGGACCCCCCAGGGAGGAAGCACCCCCGGATCCAGGCAGGCAGACGTGCTCAGAACCTCTGCTGGAAGGAAGAGAGAACCAGCTTCTCTTTTTAGGGCACCCCGCACAGTCCAGGGATCAGATAAAGAATTGTCTTATCTCTTCTCTCTTAGGAGAACTGGGATAATTCAGAGAGGAAGGTGGTGGGGAGGGGAGGGAGGAGGGATCGGATATCAGGCCAGGGCTCTAAATGGGTTACTTTGAGGAAAGCTGTTCTCCATCTTCCCAGAGTAGATGGGCCAGCACAACAAGAATGTGTCAGGTCAGAAATAAGAAAGACCTTTCTGACAGTGAGGGTGTGACAGCAAACCAAGGCTTCAAAAGCAGGGTCATGGCGAAGGTCCTGCACAGTGGAGTAGGGCGACCTGAGGAAATAAGGAGTGAAAGAGAACGAGAGAAGACCAAACACGGAGTGTTGTGAGCATAAGAAACAGATATTAACTGCTTTGGAAATGTCCTGGTCTTCCGTAAGGATAGGGTAATAAGTATAAATATGTGAATCTTAATAGATTTTGAAAAAGGAAGAAACACGAACTGGCTCTCCTCCCCTGAGGCAAAAGCCTCCTTCTCCCTACACCCCTCTGCCCGTCCCTCTCCAAGAATCCCCTTTTAACTCCACCAAGAGAATGGCATCCTGTCTATAGGAAGAGGTGCAAACAGGTCACTTTGGAGTAGGGCTATATCTAAAACTTATTAAAAAAAAGAAAGGGGTGACTGGCGGGCTCAGTCAGTGGAGCATACAAGTCTTGATCTCAGGGTTGTAAGTTCAAGCCCCATGTTGGGTGTAGGGATTACATAAAAAAAACAAAATATTAAAAAAAAAAAAACAACTTACTATGGAGTAGGGCTATGTGTTATTATTACATCCATCTCAGCCCGGGGTTCCTGTGATGCCCACCTATCTGGGTGATGGCACACAGATGAATAGGCTGAGCATGGCCCAAGAGGCACTGGCAGGAAAGGCCCTGTGGTTTAAAGCCCCAGCTGGGCCACCACAGGTGATGACACCATGACCTGGCCCTGTCTCCTGCTGGGGGTGCTCCTCTATAAAATGAGGTGTTATGGGTCAGATGATCTGTGAGCTCATTTCCTGCTCTAACAGATTGTGAATATGAGGCACCCAGTGACATGGGGCTTGCCCTTTGCCTGGCCAGCAGTGGCCCCTCCCTCCTCCCTCTAAGCCAAGCTGGGCAAACAGGCTCCTTTCCAGACCACAGGGGCTGCGGCCCCAGGGTAAATCATGGAGAGGAAGGTCAGCCTCGGATTGGCCACCAGGTCTCCAGGGGCCTGGTCCAGCTCAGGAGGCCGCTGACTCATGGGGACTCCCTCTGCACGTTCTCACCCCTCCCTTTGACTCTTCTGAGGAATTCACCAGTAGACCCGCCTGCTGGAGACACAGCAGCTCACAGTCCAGTTCTCCAAGGGCTCAGCCACCAGCCCATGCTCACCAGAGATTGGCACTGACCATGTCACCTCACTATGACTCACTGTCTCCACCTGGAGAATGGGTTTAATACTCTTAACAATACCCTTCTCAGAGTTGTAAAAATATGCATAAAGCACTTAGAAGGGTACCTGACCCCTGATAAAAACAGTAAATGCTGGCTTTTTATAGTTATTATTTTATTAGTCCTTACAGTAGTCCAACAGGGTGGATAATGTTATCCCTATTTACAGATGAAGAAATAGAGGCTTAGAAGAATTAAGTCACTTGCCCAAAGTTACTTAGCTAGGGTGTGATGAAGTCAACACCTGAGCGCCAAGACGGACTGCAGAGCCCCATGTTCTCATCTCTCATTTTGATGCCCCATCTATCTAAGCCTCTCGTCACCACTCACGGCTACCCGTTTAAGACCCTCTAATGACAACAGAAGGCTCACATAGCAAAGGACACGGAGCCACTCAGGCCCCTCCGTAATTCCCCATCTCCCAGTTCCCAAACACCGCCAGGAGGTTAAGAGGGTATTCAGAGCTAGAGATTCTTAAATGACAGAGCTAAAAGCAAACTCTCTCATCTAAGGTGAGCCAGCCCACTCGCTTTACCAGCCAGATGGGGAAGTCGAGTGACCTCTCCATGGTCATGGTCATGTTGCCGGACCTGAGGCGGGGCCTACATCCCCGCTCTCTGATGTGCAGTCCTGGGCACAGGAGAAGGGGAGAGCATTCAGGCGAGTCAGAGGAGTGGCAGAACACAGCCACACCCACCTCTGAGCAGTGCCAGGCGGGCAGGAGCCTTGGCCCACGGCCGGGCCTGCCCCCTGACAGCTGCCCAGCCTACATGAGGGCCCTGGTCACTCTGTGTCATGGAGACCTCGGAGAAGGATGAGGTTTGGGGCCCGCCTCTGCCTAGGCAGTAGGGAAAGGGGGAAGTGGTCAGTGTTTACTTTCAGAGCTGTGAGTAATGGTAGGCGCTGGAGAATGTGGAGTTGAAAGAGAAGGAGGGGAAAGAGGAGGGAGACGATCCAGAGATGGGGAGGATGACTGATGCCCAAAGACTAGAAACCAGGAGTCAGGTCATCTGGGTTCTGCCAGTAGCTAGTAGAGGAGCTCACAGTCTCCATGGGCTAAAAGGGACCTTGAAGGGTCCCCACTGGAAGCATGAATTTTCCTAAAACACAGTAGGCATTCAGTTTCTCCTGAACACACTCCAACAACAGGGAGCAAGGCTGTGCCACTTGCAGGCAGCCTGAATCATTAGAACATTCTTCCTCACCATGCCTGTTATCAAGATGTTCTAACTGCCCCATCCTTGCCATGTTACAGATCTAAGTCTGCTCCCCCATCGTCAAGACCCCAATCCCCCACCAGAAGGAGCCAGAAGCTCTCCTTTCTCCTCCAGACCCAGCCGTCCCAGCAGCAGCAGTGGGCGGGCTCAAACACAGGACTTGTTGGCTGTCAAGGTTTTCAGGTACAGCCTTGGGGAAACAGCCCCTTCCCCCGGAGCCACCTCGGTGTGGCCACCACAGCTCTGGCCAGCTGAGGCCCAGGCTCAGGCTCCCCTGGGCGCACCTGAAGGGTTAAGGCTCTGGAATCTGCAGAGAGGAGGCCTGAGCTACCGGAGTCATAGCAAGCAAGCAAGCAAGCAAGCAAGCAAGCAAGCAAGCGGGTGTGTGTTGGAGGGAGGGGCGGAAAGGAGCAGCTGACTGGTCCAGGCAGCCTGCCCTCCTCGCTGCCAGGAACCGATGCCCAGAGTCAGAATGGAAAGAATAGCTCAGAGTGTGCATCTCAGGAAACCCCACCCAGCAGGCACAGGAACACAGCCCCTGGCCTCGTAGGACGGTCTCCTTCCCTCCCTTTTCCTCTACCTACCCCAACTCCTCCAGCTCTCCCCACCCCCACCCCCAGCACAGAGCCACCAGGGCAGAGGACTAAAAAAGATACACCCAGGAGTGTCTGGGCAGTCACCAGGCCTGCTGCACACGGACCAAGAGGCCCAGAATCAACTTATCCTTCAGTCTGCCTGGCTTCTGGGAATAACAGGATGACTCTGAGGGGATCTAAAACCTGACGTAAGAGACGGAGTGGCCTTTAGAAATCATCCGGTTATCTAACAGACAAGGAAACCCCAATGCCAAGAAAGTTCCTGTCCCAGCC